TTGCCTGTTCTTAAAAAGGCTATTAAAGGACTTTTTTGGAGGAGGAGAGTGGCAAAGAAGGTAAACATGCTTTTAAAAAAGGCCTGCTCATAACAGACAGGCCTGGAAACAGCCTTTAGAAATAGTGGGAGAGCAATACAAGTAAGCCATGATTTTTCAGGAAGTAAAATTAATTAATTAAAAAAAAAAAAAAAAAGAAAAGAAAAAAACAAACCAAAACTCCCAAGGTTTTGAAAATTGCTTTTATCCTGAAATGGGATGAAAATAATATTTGCAGGTGTGAAATATCTTTTAGAACTGAAAGCCTTGAGAGCAGTGCCATCCTGGCAGGGCTGGCAGCTGGCTGGCTGGTGCTCTGGGGGAGCCAGACAGAAAACCAGCAGGGAGGGAGGGCACGTTCTCATCTCAACTCACTTTTCCTTTAAAAGTTGAGCAAAATGTATAGCAAAATGTACAGAAAACCCCTACAAACATCCTATTTTCTACCACTTCAGCAAAACCAGCATTTTCAGATACCTGCAGAAAAACCTTCTGTTAGCTCTGAAAGTAACCCTTGGCTTTTAAAGGTGAGATTTAAATCCTGGTTAGTGATGGGAAGGTAGGAGTTGTGCGATCATTCGTTTTGTACAAGTTGTTGGTTAAATCTGTTACCCAAGAAACAACTGTCTGAACAAGCTGAAGGATTTATTTTCTCTGCTGCTGCTGTTTATTTAAAAGATTGCTTCGTCAGTAGATATCTTAAGTTTGTCATACAGCTGCTATTTTAAACAATAAAGAAATACCAGGCTCATTTCATAATACCCGATGATAGTTTCCCTGTTGCACAAATTAACTGAACAACAATTCAATTGCTCTTTTAGCCCTTCACCTGACTCTTTAGAGTACCTCTGTGTAGTTTCCACTCTTGTAACAGACTGAAAATGTTCACTGATACAGAACATGTAACCAAATAACTTACCAAGCAGTAAGGTAGAGCACTAACATAACTAACGTTGTAAAACATTTGTTTCCTGATGGTGACAGTGCAGTCTCATGAGAATAGGTGATAACATTGTGCTAATCTGTGTGATAAGAGATTTGTCATGGAGCAAGAGTAGAGTGGCTAGAGGATTCTGTCGGAAGATCAACCTGGGCTCAGCGTAGAGGAGGGAATCCTCTGCCTTCTGCCCTCTCCACTTCTTTCTGCAGAACAAAAGGATACCCAGCAACTGGGTCCAAGCAGAAAGCCATGGGATTCCTTGAACGTGTTTTGGAGGTTTTACATATAGGTAGAAGGCAATGGATCTCTTATGCTCAGTGCTAACTGAACAGGAAGCACTTGTGCTGCATTGTCCAGCTTATTCCCTGAAGGGATTTCTGAACCTTTCAAAATCTGTCCACCTCTAGTAAAGAGATTTTCAATGGTGTGTTACTTCTCATGCAACTACTAATCTGCACGTATAAAAACCGCTGTACAGATTGTGGGAATGAGAAATACAAGTTCATAAAAGTAAAACAGAGGTAGTGTGCATTTTAGATGCTTCCACCTTAGGTTTAAACTGAGTTTGTCTGTCATGTGGAAATATTGGAGTGGAGAACCAACAACAACAACCTTCACAATGCAATGAGGAGGATGAACCTGTCTGGCTCCCATCAGCAGTAACTGGCTGATCTTATAAGTTGTCAGAGGGCTGTTGTTCATGACTTGTAAAATGCAGTCTGTGCTACTGGTCTGATCCTTAATCAGCCACATGCAGTGAGCTGCAATCCCTGAATGTGTCTGGCAGTGCTGTTTCATAATGGTCTAATTAGAGCGAACTCTATTCTCTATTGAAATACCACTAAGTTTGAGGAAAATGCTGGAATTTTGTTAAAAACTGTAGAAGAGAATTATATTTTTGACACTGGGCACAGAGCATGAACTGAATTGCCAGCAAGAGACTAGTGAAGTTGGAGCAAGGGCCACAAAGAATACTGAGGGACTGGAGCATCTGTCATATGAGGAGAGGTTGCAAGAGCTGGGACTGTTCAGCCTGAAGCAGAGAAGGCTCAGGGAGGGGTCTCATCACTGTGTATAAGTGCCTGGTGGGAGAAGAAACAGCCAGGATCATCTTCTCAGTGGTGCCCACTGACAGAAGAAGGGACAGCACCACGAACTAGAACACACAAAAATTCATTTGTATGCAAGAAGACACTTTTTTTTTTTTTCACTGTGAGGATGGTCAAAGACTGGAGCAGGTTGCCCAGGGAGGTTGTGAAGTCTCCTTCTGTGGAGGTGCTAAAAGCGTAGCTGGACATGGTGTTGGGCAACCTGCTTCAGCTGACTCTGCTTGAGCAGGGAGTGGAGTTGGATCAGAAGCTCCCGGAATAGGAATCTGCCTTCCACCTTAAACGGGTTCTGCAAAAGTTCCATTGTTTTTGTTCTCAGCACTGCATTAACTTACTAGTTACACAGATGGGCTTCAGTTGTCTCAGTATGTGATAGGTTACACTGTGCTCTTCATTACCATATGAATGTGAAGCATGTCTAAATAATTTGCTTTTTTTTTCTTCTCCTTTCTAGGTTCTGGGAACGCCTACAAGGGAGCAAATTAGAGAAATGAATCCAAATTATACTGAATTCAAATTCCCTCAGATTAAGGCACATCCATGGACTAAGGTGAGTCTATATGAACTGCATAATAAAGACATGTGGGCTGAAAGTGAAAATTCAAGGAGTTAATTTGTTCAGTGGTTTGGTGACTTTCAGTCTAAACAGGGTGCCTTTAACTAAGCTGGGGACCTAGTAACTTTAGATGTAGATAAGGAGAAGTTATTGAGGCAGTACACTATAATGTCTATTGGTCTGGGTTTTTTTGAGGTTGCCTACAGGTGATGGTTTCGTTTTCTTTTTTAAGAATGGTGTGTGTGTGTGTGTTTATAGCAGATGGCAATATATCTGAATTCTGTCATGCTATAAATTTGTAAGCACAACAGTCACCTACAAATGAGAGAGCATTCCAGTGATAGCTGTGACACTTGTAATGCTGTTCCATAACGTGATGAGGGCTGACAGTCACTTTCTTAACTGGTTCTCTCATAGATGATACTATATTTGTACTCACAGGTGTGGTGGTGAGGGGGATTGTTTTTTCTTGGAGTTATTTCTTAAGACTTCTTCTTACATGCCTGTCACAAAGAGACACTGCTGCAGTACATGGAGATGAAGTTATAACCTCCATGATCAAAGAGGAAACTGCTAGCATTGAAACAAATACAGTGCCACACAATTAAGCTGTCTTCAACATACCAAGGAGTAATGAATATTTGACTTGAGATAGTAACAGTTAATCATTTAATTAGCCTCTTGGGTGTGGGATAAGTTAAATATTGAATCTTAAGCAACTGAAGCCTGGGTAGTTAACGTTTTCTGTTTGCTGCTTGAGAAGTGTCTGATACAGTCGTGGTGTATTTTCATCATATATTAATGGCTCAGATTTCCTTCTGCTGAGAAAGAAGTGTGTATTCATGGAAAGGTTGCCTTCCTAGCTGAGCACATGGCCTGGTCAGACTTCTTTGGACCAAATGTTCTGTGGTGGTAGAAACTCTGGAATCCAAACTAATCAGAGCTATGTGCTACCACAATGAGCTGGTGGATAGCAGGCCATGTACCTGACAGGTACATGCCAGGCCAGGTACTGAGAGTCACTGTTTTTGCAATAGATCCTTCAATAAGTTATGCACCACTTTAATTCTCCTTTCCCCCTCTAGTCCCTGGTTTACATTTCCATGTCAGAGTTTCTTTGTGTGTTGGTTAAGGGATTTATAACAGTATGAGAGGTTAGTAAATCCAGGCTTCTTAGTACCTGATGTTAAGTGAGGGAAAAATTAAGGCAAATGAAGTCTATGGGAGTGGTCTCTACAGTTTGGATTGCACCATGGTGAAAGTCAGAAGAAAAGTCTAAAAGCCTTAGAGCACTGAATACTAGGGTCGCATCTGAATTCCTGCAGTGAAGGTGTTTGAATTAAGGTGAATTAAAATAGGGTGCAGTGGAATAGGAGTGCAGAGGCATACCATTGGACATGGAGTTAAACATCTAAGCCAGCTATGCAACTCATCATCTGCCTGCATAGTCTTACAAATCATCTCTATGCACTTGATGGTCTCTTAGACCACAGCAGAGATATTTGGGCAAATAGAAGCTTCGAGAAAAAAGTTGAGACTTTCTTCTATTTATATGAATGTTTTTTTGGTCATTCTAAAGGATCACAAGTGGAGCTAAGTCAGTTACAAAGAATTGAGAGGAGCTTGCCAGAAGATCAAATCTGTGTTCTCCATTAGGGCCTAATTAGTTTTGGAGAGCTGTGCTTGCATCATAGCTTCTCATTGTCAAGTCATTCTGCACACAACTCTTCTGACATTGATTTGGTGTAGAATATCATTTAAACTAGTTTATTTCAGTTGGGTTACATGATACTTCATTTATGAGATCTGTACTTCTCTGATTACACAAATGCTAAATTAACAAAACGGATTATCCAGCCTGGTGTTGGTAATGATGCTCATCCTCATGCTCATCCTCTCAGTGTATCACTTCTAAAGATCCATTCTTTTTCAACGCTTTTGAACATGTGGAACCATGAAAGGTTTAAGTGGTAGTATTATGTAGATTTGATCTTTCTCACCCAGCTGTCTTGGTGTAACATTTGATAGTGTGGCAGCAGACGTGCATCTTCTTGGAGCTTCTGTATTTTAGAATTGAAAAGTGTGGGAGAAGAAGCACTTCTGAACGCTGGCTGCGTAATGGGCTGAGAAGGAATGACTGAAGTGAAAATACAATTTTAATTATTTTTTTTTAATAATTATGTATCTAACTGAAGTGCTATATGTAGTTGCCAGCAGGACTTTAAGTTTCAGCTTCAAATGCACAAACCTTCGCCATCTTATTTACCATAAAAAATTACTGAAGTTTACAGTAATTAGAAGGTTGTTACCTTTGGGGGGACTGTTCATGACCAGAGGACTCAGCAGGCAGAAGTTAAGGTTTTCTTGTGTAGAAGAACTTCCAGGCAGCTGCAGCTAGTTTTCAGCATGTTTGAAAGAGAATCACTGATAATATAGTCACTCCCTGCCATAAGCTCTTTGACACAAGGGTATTCTCCTTGTTGCTTCATGATGTTTAATACAACATGGGTCTCTATCAAAGCTGAGGGGTTTATAGGTCCTACCTGGAATTAATTTCCTGCAGTGGAGATGCCCAGTGAAGGTGGATATTTAGCTACTGTCTAGATGTTTAACCTCTCCTGTGCAGTCTGGAATTGGTTATATCCAGCCCAATCTATTAAAAAGTAAAGTCCATGGTTCCCTCTTGTTTTCAGGGGACTTTCTTGGTCTGAAAAAATATATGTAGATGGCAATTAAGAATTCTCTTTAGAAGCTATAATACTTATAGGTTACATCTGAAATTCTGTGGTGTTGACTTCTGGTGCCTTTGCTCTTACATACTAGGTGGAGAAGGATGGTGACTGATGCTGTAGTAGAATGAAGTAGGTTCTCCATTTTTTAAAGAACTGGAGACTTTGAGACTGAAGGACGAGGCCATGAAGGAATATTATTCCTCACAGTCATTCACTTTCAGGCTTAAACTGACATTTTGAGCAGAAGTTTTATGGAAATTTGATGTCTAGCTTTGTAAATGTATCTTAGACTTTTCAGGAGAAATGGATTGGTATAATCAGAATATAGTATTGATATTCAGTGTGATGCAGTAGTCCGAAGAAAGAGATCTCAAATTAACAAGAGTCTTTCCTCATAGATTGGGAGAGAGGTCAAGTTAACACTCTAAAAAATATTTTTCTGTGCTGCAGCAATAATGCAGGTTCACCGTGCAGACTGCTCACAGGCCTTTTTTTTTTTTCAATCTGTTTACAATTTGAGACTAAAGTACTTTTGTAACTTAAGAACTAGACTCTCTCATTATAAAATGTGCAGAGGCCTCTCCTCCCTTCTCTCCAGTACAGCTCTGTGCTGCCCAAGTCTGTGCAGGGTCTTTGTACCAGTTACGTGCGTGATGCAGATGATGATGGGAGTTCAGTGGGTCCCTGGCTAGCAAAAAAAAGAAAGAGAACCTGAACTTTCCAGGAATCTTTTGAAGGGTTCTTCCAAAACAGGACTTCTCCCTTCTGCTCTGGCATTCCAGATGCAAAAGGAGGAATCATTGGTATTGGGGAGGAGGTCCTCTTCAGAATATTGGAGTGTTCAATTTGGTGATGTAGCTGCTCTTTTCATCCAGACCTCCCTTTGTTTCACTTAGTATAGAACATTTTCTATTCATGGAGGTGCATCCTACTGCTTGTCTGCCTCGATCTGCGAGTAAGTAACATTAAGTTGTAGGAGAAGCAGGGTGGGAATATCTTTTGACTGACTGATAAGTTGGAAAAAAATGGGTAGGCTTTTAGGCACGCAACCATGTCCTCAGAAAACCTGTCCATTTTTTCCAACGTTATCAGTTCATTAAATAAAGGTTACTACCCTTTCTGGAGGTTTTGCTGCTGTTGTTTTTACTAGGTCAGAATTTTCCGTCTGTGTCTTTCAGCCATCTCAACTCTTTGATCCTTCCTCCTTGGAAGTGCAGTCTGATTTCTGCTACTAATCTTCATACTTGTTTCTCTTCTGACTAAGCTATAACTGCGTGACTGGAAAGCCAAGAAGGAAATATGAGATCACGATTATACATCATAGGGCTGTTAAAGTTGAGCTTTGGTGATTAGCTTTCTCTGAAGCTTTTGGCCCTTTTGGAGGGGAGCAGGAACAGTGGGGTGGCTGACAAAAGGCCTAAACGTGTGCTTCCTAAGCTTATGTTAGGATAAGTGTTGCTTACCATGGCCCCATTACAGCTGGCCTTCATCCTAGCATTACTCAGATGCTACCTTCAGATCCTAAATCCTTTGGGTTATAAAAAACAAAGACAGTGCTGTGATTATTTCCAGAAATATGAAGAATGTCTATCTGTGATGGCCCACCCTTCCCCTTGCGTCAAGCTAGCAAAGGACCTAATTTGAGCAAGTTTGTAGGAAATGTAATTCCATAGTTTGTCTCTTCTGCCTGGGAGAGGACTCGTTTGGACTTTTTTCCCCACCCAAGGATACTTCCATGTGTTTGCCAGTAATGGCAGGATAATGAAGTGACTTACCTACAGGCGTGCCCACGGTGCATGATGGCAGAACAACACAACAGGTTATGTTAGCAAAGGCTTTTTTAGTCAAATCATAACTTCTCACTTGTCTATGTGGTATAGGTGTAGAAGCACTTTCCACTGCAGACAGCTCTTTAAAATGGACAGTGCATCTCTTTAGTGTGCTGTAGTTTAGTGGCCTTTGTTTCTCTTGTCCTGAAAATGCTTGTGAGAATGTTCACACATGTAAGCACTTTTTAAATATACTGTTGGTGAGATAAGTTTGAGTGTGCTCAAAAGAATGGCTTCATTCATCATCCCCAAATCTATAGCTAGCTGATGTCTGAATCATAATTTCCAGGTCAGTATTGAGGTGGAAAAGGACAGGACTAATTTGTTTAACACTGCAAGAGAGAGAGAGAGAGAGAGAAAAAAAATGATCATGTGTAGATTAGTTCTGAGCATCTCTGTGCTTCTGCAGTGCAATCTTGCAGAGGGACTCCTC